GGATTTCATCGCTTCTGGATCTGGCAGAGTATCTGGGGGGGGAGTGAAGTTCACAGAGGGAGGGGGTTCTTTTTTTTCTGGCCACCTGAAAAATCAATTCTCAAAACTTTTGAGAGTGTGTGAAAGTGGAATGAAAGCAAAGCAAACCTTAACAAGTTTGTGGGTTTACATTCTACATCACCTAGCAACCCCCTGGCTCAGCCAGATCTCTTGTCTACCCTTAGTTCTGTTTACAGACTATTCAGTCGGCCCTTCGAAACCATGAAAGATATTCAGTTTCATTAGTACCATTCTCAAGGAGAAAATAATTAAAGTTAAATGAACAAACATTGCCTGGTGATGTCCTGAACTCCCTTCTGATTTTAAGATGCCCTTTGAGGCAATTGCCTGGATAGTTCAGTTTTAACATTTGTTGTTTGGTGCCTGCAGGCATATCCTATCCAACCATATCAACCAATACTAGCTTCCAAACAAACAAACAATAAAAATTACTTTTAACTAAACTTGAGCAAAGAAAAGAAACTCAGCTGGCAATAAGGTTCTAGGCATGCTCTCTTGATTGAACTTTTTAATTTGATTTCTATCCTGGACATCTGAGCTGACCCATTTAGACACCAAATAAAAGCAGGGGAGGGGGCCCAGGGAACAAAGCACCTCTTTCACTGATTTGTTACTTACCTTCAGAGATCCAACATCATAAAGAAAAGTATTTCAGTCATATTCTGTTGAAGACTGTACGTTCTAGTGGGTAGCTTGATCTAGTAAAAACTTCTAGTCTATTGAAAGCCCTTGGCAAAACTGCCTCTTCTCTCCTTAATAACAGTTTTCTGATTATAAAAGCAATAGATGCTTGTTGTCAAAAATTTAGAAAAATACTAAACAGAAGAAAGACCTAGAGATAACCAGTGATGCCATTTTAGAGTGTTTCCTTCCAGTCTTTTTTTTTTCTGTGTACATATTGATGAAACTATGAGTTTACATTTGAAGTATATTTGTTAGTGTGTATACACAGCTAAGGGGATGTTTTTTCAAGAATGAAGACTTGAGAGGCAGGAATGGTGGTGTAAGTAATGAACAATTTTTCTTAGAGGCTTTATCACTAAAATATTAATGTAAGCACCAGAGTAGCCATTTTACCATCTCATTCCATTTGATTATTTCTTCCTTTTCCTTGTTGAGATGACTACATGCCTTAACTGACACATCCATTTATTACCATTCATCTTGGAAAGTCAGACATGCACTGCGGCTGGAATATTACATCCCCAAGTCACTTGTAGCTTCACATGGGGGGAAAACGTCTTTCACGAAAAGATTTGTAATACAATAGAGATTAATGGAATGTAGAGAGGAAAATGCTTTCAGTTTCTCGTATAAAGTGCAAGCAGGGTGGCTATGAAATCTTGTTTCTTATTATTTGTATTTTGTTAGATCTCTAGCATCCGCAGTACATGGCTGGGTTGCACGAGCTCTTTGTGCTTTGTTGACAGTTGACAGACAAAGCAAAATTATTCCCGAAGCAAGGTACTGTGTACTTAGTTGTGACCTATTATAGCCTAAGAATGTAGCTTGCTTTTGAGTTGGATGAAAAGGAAGAGTATTTTATAGAATAGGCTTGAATATACTAAGGGAGGGAGATTTTTTTTTCAGCTGCCATACAGAAAGATACATGTCCTCCATTGAACTTTTTCCCCCCAAAATGTAATTTTCCATATAAAGTCATTTTAAGTATAATTTCTCTGGTGGCTTGCATGGAGACAATTTTAACTCTGCTAGTATTGTCCTATAGTGGTAAAATAAAATTGCTAGTAATTGTTGGCTTTCTCTGCTCACAGTATAGCAGGAGATGACTTGCATTGGGGCTCTTTAATGTATCTCAGGTATATCTTCTGATGCTCAACCTCTGATTGCAAATTAAAATAACAAGGCTGTGGTATTGGATTTGATGTGAGGCAAAGCAGAACAACTTGCTAATTTGTCATGTAATATACAATTGCTGAGGCTGGAATTTGTCCACTTGTAGTGCTATTCTGCGTGTTTAAATGAGGACCACAGTTTGCATCTAACCTATCATAACAGTTTGGGAGTGCTCCATTATCCTTTCAGCAAACTGATGGCAGAATGTGGCCTTTGCACAAATGATAAGATCAATAAGTTTCAAATAACTTGGATGAAATGACATGTGACTGTTCATTTAAAAAGATGTCTTACTTTAAAAATCAATTTTAATAATATTTAAAATTCTTACATTGACCGAAGAGGCACTTTCCACTTTTCTTCTGTTTGATAATTTTGTTAAAAATATTTTTTTACATTAAGTTGGGTGAATAGTTTTTATGTGTATTTTTCCTGATTTGCTCTTTCATCTCCTACCCTGGCACCTCTCTGAGACTTAATAATCACTCTTTGACATGCCAGCGTGCTGCAGTGTAGAAGATTTAACTTTAAAAGCAAAATTATGTTCCTGTTAAAACTTCCCCTGGAGATCTTAGGAAAATTTTCTCCCAGTTTTGGGTGCAAATGTGGGTCAGAAAGCAATTTGTTTTTTGATATTTCTGGAAATCCCAAATCACAACATGTCATTCTTCAAAAGCAGCTGTGGGCCCATACTGTGCACTATCTATAAGAAGACCCATTTTACACTAGGGATAATTCTGTGACAGAAAAATGTGACTGTGAGGGAACCCCAGAATATTTATAAATGGTTTCGGGTGAAAAGGGTATCTGGCATTGTCAAAGTGTGTACAGTTTGGGGGAGAGGAGCAGTTATTGGTCATTATTGGAAAATAATAGTGATATAATGAACTCTGCATGCTGGCGAACCTTGCCTAGTGACCTGCCATCACACTTCTTGAGGGCCATTACAATTCAAACTAAACCATACATCACTGAGGTGCTCTGCTGTGTTGTCTCTTGAAAATCTCTGAAGCCCCTAACGAAGCTACCACCTCTTCCCTTGCTGTCTCTCCTAACATCTGTAACTTCAAATTCAGTATAGTTTTATCAGGAAAGACATGAACGTTTCACTAATGTTTACTACATAGTGGTATTTTGCAATCACATTGAAAAGCTGCTCTGCCTAATCTTACCAGTTATCCACCATCATTATAGTTCTCCAGTTTGGGGTGCCCCCAGGTAGAAACTGACCAGCCTCTTTCCTGGTTACAATAGTGCATTTTTAATAGTCCCTGTCACTGTGGTCCAGTACAGAGGTTCCCTAGTATTGGAGGCATATGTAGGGTCATAGAAATATTTTACATTTACTGGAGATTTGCATGGGCTTTCTTATTTGATTCTGAACACATCTACTAGGGTATATAATATGTCCTCTTTTATATAAAAGGAAGCCAGGGTTCAGTGAGAGAGTTGGTGACTTATGTAAAATTGCCCAGTAGTAAATAGGAGGTGTTGAAACCCCACTCAGGGCAAGTGTTTATAACCTTAACTGTAGTCTTCAATGAATGGGAACTTTTGTTTTTTAAAGATTTATTTATTTATTATTTATACAAGCACTGGGTACAGTCAGAAGCGCGGGAGGGTGAGAGAATTCACCAGAGCTAGAGCGGGGAGCAGAGTAGGCAGGAGGACCGAAGTACACTGCTGAGGGGAGCAGCGGGCGGCAGGAGAGGTCTGCGCACCATGTGGGACCCTCCTCCGGTGGCCGGGGAGCAGCCGGGGATGGAACCGGCGCTGCAGAGGCTGCGAACAGCTTCGCAACCCAGCGCTCAACCGCTGCGCCACTGGGGAGGCCCTGAATGGGAACTTTTGTGCTAGAGATAGGGGAAGTCATTACCAGTTCCAAAACAGCTTTCCCAGGGGCTTCACCTCCCTGTTAGAGAAGTAAAATAATGTGTTTTGGGGACATGGTAAAGCCATGTGTGCTGTGTGACATCTGGGATTGACGGAGAAATCCCTGAGGGTTGAGAAAATTTCACAGGTGAGGAATGGAAAAGATGCTTAAGGAATGGGCATTTTAATTAGAGGTTGGACAGCATGAGCGAAAGCGAGGAGGTGGCAGTAGGCAAGATGTGGTGAGGCAAGATGTGGTGAGGACAGTGAGAAAATCAGAAGGCCCCACCATATATTTGATTCATGAGTATAAGGAACGGTGATTTTTTTTTCTCCTGTGAATTTGGAACCTTATTATTTTCCATAAACTTGCTCCTGTACATTTTAACTTTCTTGGTTCTATTCATTTGTTCAGTAGATATTTTGTTGCCTCCTCTTTACCACATTTCCAGATCTGGATGATTTTTGTGTGTACATGCTTCTGAAAATATAACATACACAAATGAGTAACAGTAACAGTTCGTGTTTAAGGTACAACTACCAGGAACGCCTCAGTTACAAGTGGAAATTGATCCCTCTTTAGCTTGTGCAGACAGAAACCATTTCAGTTGAGGCCTCAGAAATATAATTTAGCAATCAGAACCAATCAGCATTTGACACAATTTCATACACAATGATTTCAAGGAATTAGTGATCTGAGACTAAAGCAACAGGTGATAGATCTTTGCATGTTTGGGGAAACGTTTGTTTTGCTATTGTACAGGCTGACTTCACCTCTTTTGAACCTTCTACTTAGAAATGTGGTTAAAGTAGGCATCTGAAAACTTGACCCTATCCTGTTGGTTATAGCAGCTTGGCCTTTACATGTGGCATTCCATAGTAAAAAGACACATTTGGATGGCAGACATTCTTACAGTGGTTCTGGCAGTTTTTATTAAAACCCAAGCCTTTTTATATTTCCAGAAAACTATACCTTATTTTTTTTCTTGCGTTGACTTAGCAACATAACTTTGAGTTGTATGTATGTTCCAAGCATGGGGAAGAAATAGGTTTAGTTTTGTCTTGTGATAAACCAAAGTCAATTTATATCATATTAGTATTTTCCTCTTATCTTGTTTTTAATCGAAGCCCATGAAGCAAAATTCACTCTGAGATATTGTAAAATTTGCCCTATCACGAAACATTTTCAAAGACCCAGTTTGCTTATTTTAACAGCACAAATATTCCTTGAAAGGTAGTTTTAGCATAGTATTTGTCGAGGGAGAGGGGCTGACAGCAATTGGATCTTGTCACCTTTGGGGGACTGTGGCCATGCCCTGAAAGTGAATTTGGAGGTTCTATACCCCTGGGAGGAAAAAAAAAGGTTTTTTGAGGAAATAAATGGTTAACCAAAATGTACTCGGCAAAATTCAATGAAGGCGAAGCATATATATTGAGTATAATTTGGGCCTATTTCCCCTGTGGAAGAGCTTTGTTTTAAAATACATCATGACCAAAATCTTAATTATCAAAATAAAACAAGTGGCATAAAGAGTTACAGGCTTCTAATATATTTTTTCAGTCCTGGTTCCCTTCACACAGTTATCAGCATGTTTAATTTCCAGGCATAATAGCACTAGTTATTGTTGTCATTTGTAAAGGGAGATTAACAGATAGTAAGTACAAACAAACCCAAATAAGTACTGAATAGAGAGGTGACAAAGAAGAAAAGACCTCTTTAATGTTAATTATAACTGGTAGGAAGTCTAGACAAATTATATTATCTGTTCTCCATATGATTTGAAAGGACATTTAGTCAGTAATTCTGTCAGAGATAGAGTTAGGTGTTTGCTTTAGAAACAGGTGAGGTGACAATGTAACATCTCCCTGGTTGGCAGCTCAGCTAGTGAGGCACAAAGTTGTAGTAAATTGAGAGCCAGTTTGAAAAACATCTGCAAAGAACTTTAGCTTTTGCCCATTATATCTTTTAAAAATCAAAAAATAATTTAAGCTTTCAAGTAGTATTCTGGTATTTAATAATTTATTGTCTCAAAACATGCCAGTTATTACCTATTTGTTTGCTTATTTTTTTACTGTTTAGAATAGAATGAATTACAACTGTGATTACAATGTTAAACTGATACAGAGTCCAAAGTGTGTAAAGCTTAGTTATCAACTATAAAGTAACAAATCCTAAAGAATTGTCAAAGAGTGGACTAGTCCTGCATTTTTCATACATGGTTTGCTAAATGCCTACAGTTGCCTTTATTGATGTACCTAAATGGGTAATTCCAGAAACACATCTGTCTCAAACTTTAGTATTTGTGGCTGCATTTGAAATTTAACACCAGCTGCTGCTGTCCAATATCAGCACCACCCTCCTCTGCACCGTCCCTCTGTCTAGTGTGGCCTAAACCAAAGTTTGTTGTTTCTTTAATTTGGGGGCTTAACAGCCTTTTGGAAGGATACGTAAATGTGTCATTAAACATGGATGTCAATTGTAAATGCATCTTTGTTTCAGAAGTAATAGAATATGAATTAAAATGTATCCTCAAATCAAGAAAATGTGGCACGGGCCTCCCCAGTGGTGCAGCGGTTGAGTGCTGGGCTGCGAAGCTGCCCGCAGCCTCTGCAGCGCCGGTTCGATCCCCGGCCGCTGGCGAGGGTCCCACATGGCACGACAGACCTCTCCTGCCGCCCGCTGCTCCCCTCAGCAGTGTACTTCGTTGGTCTGCCTGTTCTGCTCCCCGCTCTGGCTCTGGTGAATTCTCTCACCCTCCCGCGCTTCTGACTATACCCAGTGCATGTATAAATAAATAAATCAATATTTAAAAAAAAAAAAAAAGAAAGAAAGAAAATGTGGCACTAGGCCCTAAGAATTGGAACAGATAGTTGCTGTAACTCAGAGCCATTGATTCTTTATTCTGGTTCCTGGTCTTTGCTGTGGTGCTGGTGGTTTGTCTTAAGTAGGAGCCACACAGCTCCATTCTGGCTGTGTTGTTTAGCTTTCTTAGCGGTACCATACAACTTGGTTCTTAAAGCCAGCCCATACTAAATTGCTTATCGTCTCCGTGTGTGTAGACTTTACTTTCCTGTTTAGGTTGTCATTTCCTAAAGCTCTGTACTTGGGGCCTATTTGCCTATTCCCCACAATATTTAATATAATTCTGGGCATATATTAACGGTTTCATACATAAGGATTCCTTGAGACTCTATACCTGAGAAGTTCAAAATGGATATTGAAATAGTTCAGCCTATTGAGTAAAGGTTAGAATGCAGCAAATTGTGAGTCTGTTGACCAGATGAATTTTATATTCTTTGTAGGCAGCATATTTTCTTTTATCCAAAGAGTTCTGCATGGCACTTTGGGTGTGAAAGCCAAAAGCAGAACTGGGGAAACTGATTTGGGGTGCTTTCGCTACAGTTGGTTGCAGCTACTTCCAAAGAGTCTGTTTTGAGCAAAGAGGTGACAAAGCACAGCAGTGAGTGGGGCCCACCCGCCGCCACTTACACCATGTGGAAATGTTAATAAGGCCCAGGCAAGAGGCCCTCACATAATTAAGCAACATTCTCAGTTCTACTGCTTTGATCCCTTTCTTAATCATATCTCAGCGTAGCTCTCTCTGGCCTTCCATTCTTTTGCACATGTTCTCTTTGCCCAAATTGTCTTTCTGTCTTCTCCACCCACCAACGTTCCATGAACTCTTCAAGACTGGTTCACAAGTTGCAACTCTCTAAATAGGCCAAGACCCAAAGACAGTCGGGTTCCTGCTTGTTGCTGGTCCCGGGTGGGATTGCCATGTGACAAAGCAGCGCGCCTTGTTCCCACGCAGCTCCGGTGCCTCACGCTAACACCTGGGGTTTGTTATGCTCTCTGCCAGTACACTAGCACTGCAAATCCATATACGCTGTTGCCTTCGTGGAAACACCGAGCTCTGCTCCACCCCATTTGTGAAGGCTTGTCTTCCTTGTTTAGCAGATATGTTTTATAACAAATGTGGTGGTGGGTTAAGATAAGGGGGCTATATGCTACCACATCTCTGAGAAAATTTAAACAACAGCGGCAAAGGAGAGTCAAAGAAGCAGCAGCCAGGGACCTCCCTGGTGGTGCAGGCGGTTGAGCGCAGCGCTGTGAAGCTGTCCGCAGCCACTGCAGAGCGGGTTCAATCCCCGCCGGCCAGGGAGATTCCCATAGGAGATTCCTGTCTCGCCCGCTGCTCCCCTCAGCAGTGTGTTTCAGTCAGTCTGCCTGTTCTGTGTCCAGCTCTGTCTCTGGTGAATCCTCTCACCCTCCGGCGCATCTGGCCTGTACCCCAGTTCTTGTATAAATGAATCTTAAAAAAACTAGCAGCCAAAGAAGTGGGCAGCAACTATTTCAAATCACAGGAGTTGAAGTTGTCTATGAAAGCATTGCAGCCAGTTTTATACCTCTAGAGCAGGTGTGTAGCAGAATCTGTTTTCATTTTAAATTGAAATAATCGCTTACATTGTTTCTTTTAAGCGAAGAATGGTGCTGAGCACTCTAGATGTATTTGATCATCACAACACTATAAAGTAAACACTGTTCTTGTCTCCAATTTGTAGAGAAGGAAACTGAGCCCAGTAGTTAGGCACCTAGGGCAATAGTCACTCGCTAATGAAAGTCATTCATTTCCACATTGTATCTCTTGACTTTGGTGACCTTTTTTACTGAAGTACTAAAACCCATCTGTCTACATTCTGAGTGTAATCATATACCCTTTTATTGAGAGGTTTTGGTGCATGAAAGGTGTGTTTCTTTTTAACTTGGTGACTTTCCTAACTTTTATATAGGGGACATAGATCAATGAATTTGGCAGGAAAGTGAAAGTTAGGAAACTAGAGTTACTTCACAATCTCTAAGGAAGATTTGAATAAAATGAATCTACCTTGATAATCAAAGAGGTTTTTGTTTTTATTTGTTGATGGTGGTAGTAGGGCTGAAGTGTTCATTCTCTTTTTTTCTCTCCAGGGCTGGTTGATTTGTGAGGAGCCAACATGTCGAAATCGAACTCGGCACCTTCCCATTCAGTTCTCTCGAAATGGACCTGTTTGCCCAGTCTGCCTGAAAGCTACCCTTCGACCAGAGGTAACGGTCACAGAATGCTAAAGAAACACGTGGAAGCGGGTGGAAGGCTCTGTTTGCCCATTGCTTATCTCTGGGAAATAGATACTGGGTATATTTACCCTATGGAAACGCCCTACTATTGCACACATTTTCCACATGTCAAAAACAATACTATATTTATATGAGAACGGGAAACTGGTTAGGTTCCATATGGGGTCAATAAGATGTCCTTGATCACCACTTTGTTATTACAGAGAAGAGATGCCATTCCTTGTAGAAACTGAAGTTCACTTTAGGTTTGATCAAAACCCATTTCCTAAGAGCCAGAAAACCTCTCATACCTGTACCCTCGAGGATTGATTTATGGGGGGTTTATTGTTTTGACATAGGGCCTATGCATGTTTGACATCTGTAGTTCCCAAGTCTTTTCTCTACCTTAGTACACACCTTGAGGGGTAGGCAGACCATCATCATTCATGATGGGAAGCCCACAGTTTGGTGATGACAGTGGCTTCCCTCTGTGTGTTCCCTGCCTTTAGTAGATTGAAACAACGTTGATTTCAGATGCACAGCATTATAAATAAGAATCTGTATACACCAGAATGTGCTCATCACTGAAAATCCAGTTTCTGTCCATTGCCATTCCACCCCTTTACCAACTTACCCACCGTTCCCTTTTCTTGGAGTATCACCGACCCACACCTTTCCCAAACTGTGGTGAGAAGAATGTTTGTAGGTCTTGTGAGCAAGGAGGATTTTGTGAACAGGTACATCTGACAAACTCTGGGCTAGCCAAAGTTAAACAGGCTTGTTGCAGGTTATCTGAGAAGCTGTAAAATGATAATTTGTAGTCGACCTCACCAGTATACAGGACTATAATGTTTCACTTTCCAAATGTAGCTGGCCTAAGGATTTGTAAAGGTGTTGGGTGCAGAGAGAGAATTGGGAACCTGTTGTTTGTGTTTTAATGCAGAGAGACAGGGCTATGTAACGGTTTTGACTTCATTATCTTTTCACTGCAAAGGGTTGATGCACAGGCTAGTTTTAGGAAAATATCTTATTTTTAAACATGAATAGCTTTTTATTTTAATTTTAAGATAATATGTTACCGTTTCACAAAATTTCACAAGTCAGTAACCACAAGTGACTGCCACCATTGTTACACGTTTCCTTGCTCTTTATGCGTGTCCATATGGATTTCTGTGTTGCTTCAGTCATCATGAAAATATGCTTTTGTGGGCCTCCCCAGTGGCGCAGCGGTTAAGTGCTGGGTTGCGAAGCTGCTCACAGCCTCTGCAGCGCCGGTTTGATCCCCGGCTGCTCCCCGGCCACCGGAGGAGGGTCCCACACGGCGCGCAGACCTCTCCTGCTGCCCGCTGCTCCCCTCAGCAGTGTACTTCGGTCCTTCTGCCTGCTCTGCTCCCCACTCTGGCTCTGGTGAATTCTCTCACCCTCCCGTGCTTCTGACTGTACCCAGTGCTTATATAAATGAATAAAAATAAATCTTAAAAAAAAAAAAAAAGAAAACTGTACTGTTTAAAAAAAAAAAAGAAAATATGCTTTTGTATCATGTTTATCTTTTGTCAAGCATCTGCATGTGTTACTACTTAATCTTAAGCAGAACAATTGTCAGCACAATTTTTTTCTTTTTCTTATTATTTTATATATTTTTTACATCAGTTTTCATTTTTGTACAGTGTATGCACTTTCATCTTGGTTATAGCCCCCATACAATTCCCACCCCCCTTGTGTTGATCCTATACCCACCCCCGCCAGTGTGTCTCTGGTTTATAGTTGCTTGTTGATTTTGTCCTCTCATTGGGCACTTTAGGCTGCTCTCACTATCTCTTTGCTAGAAAGCTGTGATGAATATTTTCCTGCTTGAATTTTTTTTATTTCTTGTATTTCATTTGGATAAATTTTTATCCACAATGAATATCAAAGTGTGGTCAATTCGTATTGCCAACAGCTTTCTTCATGCACTCCCAACTTACACTGTCATACCGTGATCAACATTTGATGAGTCACAGCATTTGGGCATTGTCATTAATTTACTTTTAGCTAGTTTCATAAGTCTAAAATATTCCTTGACTAATTTTGTTTATCTTTTGTAATTAGCGTAGTGGAATGCGGATTTTTTTTTTAATAGAGAACATACAGTGGGAATTAACTGTTGACGCAAATTCATTTGATATCACTCACCACTTAGATTTGGATCAGCAGGTGTAGAAAGACAACAGAGGTATATATATTTAGTGTGACTCATCAATCCAGTTGTAAACTCCAGGAGAATCACCTTGCTTCATGAGCTAATGCTGCCTTTGAGTCTTTTTCAACAACTAGCTCATCAAGTCAAATTCAGTGAGAATTGAATTACTTCTGGAACGTCAGCCAGCTTTATTATTACTTCTTGGTGAGAGAAAGTAAAAGGAAAGTGTGTGGCTGGCAGATTGTTGAGCTTCCAGTAAAAGTTGATGTTGCTGATAATGGTTTCATTCATCAGGTTATCTTGCATCTGTTTCTTCCCTTTTTGTAAGGAGTAAACTAACACGGTTATTCAAGGTGTCTTCTTTTTTTTTCCTTCATGTTCTTGTCCTACTCCAAATGGTAGACTTTTAGGCAGGCATTTATCAGGTTATCAGCTCTTCCCATGTAGCTGGTTTCCTGGGTTAGCGCCTCGGGTTGTGGTGCTCGGACGTGGCCCTCTGGAATAAAGAGAGGTGTGGAGCGTCCTGGCAGGGACACTGTGCTTAGCTGCCTCTCTCCTTGATGGTGGCAATCAGCCCACTCCTCTGCATTCTGTTTTGAGTTACTAGTGATGAGTGGGAAATTTCTTAATTCCTTGTGTGAAGTTCCTGGACTTTCCTAAAAGGAGGAAATAACTCCAGAGGTGCAACAGTGGCACAATGGATGGGACCACTATAAATACCAGAGGGTTTTCCAAAATACCTGCTTTGCAGGATTATGCTCATCTGGTTCATAAGTTCTGGATTTTGTGTCTGAATCATACACTACTTCCACTTAACAACTATTAACGGCTACTATATCCTAGGCACTTTGTTAGGTACTAGGAACCTATCAATGAATAGGCTATTTCCTGATTTATAAGCTAGTCTAACATTATGTAAATTAAATAAAATTAACAATTGGGGGCTGTAGGGGCAGGACTGGTCACAGTGCAGGTTTTCTGATCCCATGCAGACCGGGTAAAGGAGGAGTCAGAGCCCTCAGTGGCTTTTGCAGGCTTTTATTGGGATTTACCCGGTACACAGCAGGCAAGGGTGCTGGGGGGCCGGGAGTCTGGCAGGCCTCCCAGCCCCCAGCAAGTCTTCACTCCAGGCTCTCCGGCCTTCTCTCGGCTTCTTTTTCTACTGCTGCTGCGGCTGCTGCTGGCGGCATCCCTGTGACGCCGCCCTTAAAAGTCCAGTCTCTCAGCCCAGGTGTACCCACTCCAGGTGCCCGCCATCAGGCATGCATTCAGGACCACAGGGTTCCCTCATCTATCCTAATGGCGGGAGAGCAGAAAAGCCTGATACCTTTTACCTTACCCTACAGGGGCACAAATAGTTGTTTGGAAATGTTTGTTTGGACACAAGCACCAAACTTTCCTATTGCTTGATAATGGGGGCTTTCAATATGTTGTTCAAGTTTTGATGGTAAAGCGTGTGGCTCTTCCTGCGCCAGTGTCATCCTCACATTGTCAGTCTACTTGCTTAGTCTTGGGTTGCAGTGGGCCTGAGTACTTCCCAGAATTGATTTGGAGTATCAAAGCTGGCTCTTCTTTGGCTCATGTTGCCAGAATTATGGGGGAAAGCTGGGACAATTCTATGGCCATGGTTTTAGAGGTGTCTCTTCTCAGATATTTAAAAACAAACCAGTGAAGTGTTTTTAGGTTCATGGGACTTTAATTGTATACAGATTGCTGCTTATTTAAAAAAAAAAGCCTCTGTAGGAAGTGTAAATAAGTACAGGAGTGAAAACTTCCATGTATATGTAAATTTCTAAGTAAATAGATAACCCATTTTACACAGGTGATAGAAGCAGGACTTAGTCGAGTTAGACAATAAATAGTGTTATATCTCTATTTTGCAGAAGTGATTTGAGTGATTTGATTTTGTAAGGTGGCTAAATCTGCATAACATATGAGCGAAGCCTCAGGTGATTCTGTATTAGGTAATTCACCAGAAATAAAGCTTTTATTCGTTTTGTTTTTCTTTAAGATTTCAAACTAAGTTAAACTTTTCTGACATTTCCATTCTTGATGTAAAGGTGAGAAAACATCTACATGTGACTCCTGGGGCTGTGGTAGAAATTGGGGGTGAAATTGTTAGCCCCTGGGGCAGGAGTACTGCGGCAGCGCCCTTACACAATTATATTTCTTGAAGACTACATACACGGAAAACGGTGAAATGACTTCTGGTCCTATTTAGGGACACCCCTAGTGTTTTTCACATTATCTTCACTTGTAAAGTTGTTAACATCTTTTATAACAATATATGTATACCATACAGAGCCATAGCCTTCAAGGGAGAGGGAAAATACTGAACTTAGAATCATTGTAAGTTACAGTTTCAAGACAGCTGTGGCTGAACTAATTGTTGATTTGATAAGTAGATTAAGGACATTGCAAATATTGCCAAGCTACCTAAAACAGTGTCCCGTTTCTGCATGAGATGAAAACATGAAAATAACCATGGCCTCCTAAAATTAGGCAGTAATCATGAGTTGGTACATGAAGAGAACTATAAAGGAACATCTTGAGCATCTGTACCTAGTCATTGGTTACCCTCCGTGAGACCAGGGGCTTTTACCATGAAAGGTCTTTGGAGTTATCGGCTGTGATTTTCATGTCTGTGCTTTTTGATGCAGAGTTTGCTAAATTCTGCATACAGCTACTCTTAGCACAAAGCAAAGGCTAGCCTGCCTTGTCAGTATACTTCTTTTCTTTCTTTTTTATTGAGGTGAAGTCCACAGAGCAAAACTCACCATTTTAAAGTGAGTAATGCAGTGACGTTTCATAC